GGGCGTGGCTACGACTCAAACTTTGACCTTTCGCCAGGCCACTCTTTTTTTCACAGCTCCCTATTGGACTCCTTTTACCCAATCACCAGGAATCTCTGGTAAATAGCAGCAGACAAGTTGAGGTCACGTGGTCTCCAGTACTGGAAGGTTTTGAAAAAAGGCGGCGCTTTGGGAGCATGGCGAAATTCGCCATCACGCCATGGAAATACGTTTGCCTCTCATTTCTTCATTTATCGTGATATCACCTCGAAATTTATTGTGAGTGATCCTCGTCTGACCCCCAATAGAAATGGTTAGGTTAGGTTTGTGGGCGTGGCCTATTTTCTGAATTAGCACCCCCTAGGACCATTAAAACTGTCAGCCCCAAGCCATGCTTTGACTGAGGATTACGAAATTTGGTACAGCAATGTGGTGTCTCAGGACCTACAAAAAAGTCTCTTGGAGCCAAGTGCAAAGTCGCACAGGAAGTCGGCCATTTTGGTCCAAGTACTCGATTTAGTGGTTTTCGCACACGTTGTTTGGAGAGTGATGCTCCGTCGCCCTTTTCACCAATCGCCTTGTAACTTCTGCTAGATATTCTTAAGATATAGTGGAAAAAATTCAACGGTCGGATTTTAAATAAGTATAAAGGTGTGGGCGTGGCTAAGCCTCAAACTTTGACCTTTCGCCATTTCATTACTTGACTTAATAACTCCCATGTGCACGATCAGATCTATATCAAACTTTGTCTGTGTGATCACTGACCACATCTCAAGGCAACGTCATTGTGGACAGCTTACATCACCTAAGCCCCGCCCCCTGACAACAGGAAGTCTATTGTGTTATGGTGAAATGCCCATATTTCTCCCCTCTAATTTAGTCAACATGACACTAAGGTCATGCACTGTCTTCATGATGTTGTAATGACCATTCAGATCTGATAGCTTTCCAGATAGGGAGGGCTTTGAAGCCATGGCGAATTCCAGCATGACGCCGTGACCTTACAATTCAATTTAATGGTGAGCTCAGAGGGGATGCTGAGTCAGGGTGAGGTGCGGACGAGGTGACCGTTAGCGGTTTCTGGTGTTGGGGTGGGCAACGTTTCTGTTCCACGGACGTGCCCTGGTGCCCTGGGCTGCCGGCCAGGCCGGAGCGGCGCGGAGCTGCGAGGGCCGAACGACGCTGCTTGCAGCTTTAATTCTTATTCTGATTCTGATTAACACAGGACAGTTTTTCTCAGCAGGCCTTACAGTTACAAGCCTGTACTTTTTAATTTATTATTTTTATTTATTTATCATTATTATTATTTACTTCATTCACTACCAATGACGACTAAAGTTGTTATTTGCTTTTTTAACGGGGTGGACTTGAGAACAACACCTCGAGAGCAAACATCATGGCTCTAAAGTCGATCTTCACCCATATATGTCACATGTCACGTGATCACGAAGCAGACAACCAATGAATTAGTAGATCACTTTAGGACGCCACTATGCCCAATGCAAGGAGCAAACCGGAAAAGCTTCTGCACCTCACACTTCAAGAACAATTTGTGAAGGAACAGAAAAAGCCAGAAACACGCTGATCTTCCTGATGTAAGAAATCTACTCTGTCTTTATGTAGTTCTGGTGTTTACATGGTAATAGAGCACACTGTTCTGTGACACTTCAAAAAACAGAAATATGCTCAAAAATGCAGACAGTCATGGGCTTTCTCCAGTAATGGCTGGCAGTGAATGAGTCACGAGTGCAGTCAAGTGAAACATTTTATTTTGAGTTTTAATTTATATTGTGTATAGTTGTTATGTCAGTGCTAAATAAACATTTTCATGGTTCCGTAATTGATTTATTGCAATGCCTTCATTTTGGTTAGGTTACAACACATTGTAGCCTTAAAGTCTCTTTCGGCCATATTTCTCTTATCCGATGGCACCATTTAGTGGCTGAGGAGCATATCACACAAATAATTTCTTCTCCCGTTTTTTTTTAAGATGGCGACTTCACGTTTCTGCTTATAAATGTGCTTCTGTAGGCGACAAACAAAGCTAAAACACATTGTTTAATGGGTATTACTCTCATGTCATGTTGTGTTCTCATATATTCATATTTCAGAGACTTGCTTGTCCGTGAAAAGTTCATCAACTCTGCATCAGCCGAGGTATTTATTCCTTAAAACTGAAGCAGATAAGCGGTAGTCTAGCGTTATTGGTTAGTTCTGGTGGGCGATCAGTTTCCTACTACACGGAGCTCTGCAGGTCAGTGGGCGTGCTTAGCAAAAAATAAAATAAAATAAAAAGATGTACCACTTATATCACAGTACATGATAAGACAACCACTTTTGCGGATGTCTGAAAAATTATAGGGGAAAACTCCAGAAAGATACTTTAAGTGTAATGGTTCTAATTGTTGCCATAATCAATCATTTTAGTTTTCGGCCTTGGTTTCCTAATTTTTGGTTTTTCGTTTTAGCCAAGAATTTTCATTTTGGTGCATCCCTACAACACTGAGGACCTCTTATGGACCAATAAGCCCAAATCCCCGACAAACAAAACTCATTAGCAGGAAGGTGCACCACTCCAAACCAATTCTTACCACGTTCTACAATTGCACCATCAAGAGCATTGTATCTCGCTGAATTACAGTCTGGTTTGGAAACATAGCCTAGCAAGCTATGTATGTGAAAAGATAGTTTGGCCATCACCCATTGAAAGAGCTCAGTCATGTGGCAGAATCTACAGTTGTCTTTCAAACTGTCTCTGCATGTTATTGAACAACAACATTTTGGAACAGCAAACCACAGGACGTATTTGTTGCTAAGGAAATCAGTCCACCATTCACTTTTGAAAAAGCAGTACATCCTTTTTCTAATTAAAGGACTTGAGTACCTCTATCTGCTCATGTCTGAAAGAAAAGCCCAGGTCTACATAAACCAAGTGTCGTTCCGGAGCCGACATTACATCTCCACTCCCATAGCCTCCCTATTGTATTTCCTATTGTAAGTGAACCACATACACACACTAATACAACTATAGAGTTTACCTGAGCCCTGAAATCCCTCCTGTTGAATCCTAACTATGACCTGGCTAAGTGCTGTGTTTTTCATTTTCTTCTCTTCTTTAATTATTTTACTTGTTATGTTATATTAACACGAATGATGATCCTGGAGGAGGACATTTCGTCTCACTATGCACTAATGTATGTGGATGGGATGACAATAAAATCTTTACTTGCTGATATGAGTCTTCACAAAATAACAGGGGTGGCAGCATTGTCTAACATGTTGTGTTAAATACAGGTCCTTCTAAAAAATTAGCATATTGTGATAAAGTTCATTATTTTGTGTAATGTACTGATAAACATTAGACTTTCATATATATTAGATTCATTACACACAACTGAAGTAGTTCAAGCCTTTTATTGTTTCTAATATTGATAATTTTGGCATACAGCTCATGAAATCCAAAATTCCTATCTCAAAAAATTAGCATATTTCTTCCGACCAATAAAAGAAAAATGTTTTTAATACAAAAAAGTCAACCTTCAAATAATTATGTTCAGTTATGCACTCAATACTTGGTCGGGAATCATTTTGCAGAAATGACTGCTTCAATGCGACGTGGCATGGAGGCAATCGGCCTGTGGCACTGCTGAGGTGTTATGGAGGCCTAGGATGCTTCGATAGTGGCCTTAAGCTCATCCAGAGTGTTGGGTCTTGTGTCTCTCAACTTTCTCTTCACAATATCCCACAGATTCTCTATGGGGTTCAGGTCAGGAGAGTTGGCAGGCCAATTGAGCACAGTAATACCATGGCCAGTAAACCATTTACCAGTGGCTTTGGCACTGTGAGCAGGTGTCAGGTCATGCTGAAAAATGAAATCTTCATCTCCATAAAGCTTTTCAACAGATGGACACATGAAGCGCTCCAAAATCTCCTGATAGCTAGCTGCATTGACCCTGCCCTTGATAAAACACAGTGGACCAACACCAGCAGCTGACATGGCACCCCAGACCATCACTGACTGTGGGTACTTGACACTGGATTTCAGGCATTTTGGCATTTCCCTCTGCCCAGTCTTCCTCCAGACTCTGGCACCTTGATTTCAGAATGATATGCACAATTTGCTTTCATCTGAAAAAAGTACTGTGGACCACTGAGCAACAGTCCAGTGCTGCTTCTCTGTAGCCCAGGTCAGGCGCTTCTGCCGCTGTTTCTGGTTCAAAAGTGGCTTGACCTGGGGAATGCAGCACCTGTAGCCCCTTTCCTGCACACGCCTGTACACGGTTGCTCTGGATGTTTCTAATCCAGACTCAGTCCACTGCTTCCGCAGGTCCCCCAAGGTCTGGAATCGGTCCTTCTCCACAATCTTCCTCAGGGTCCGGTCATCGCTTCTCGTTGTGCAGCGTTTTCTGCCACACTTTTTCCTTCCCACCGACTTCCCACTGAGGTGCCTTGATACAGCACTCTGGGAACAGCCTATTCATTCAGAAATGTCTTTCTGTGTCTTACCCTCTCGCTTGAGGGTGTCAATGATGGCCTGGACAGCAGTCAGGTCGGCAGCCTTACCCATGATTGCAGTTTTGAGTAATGAACCAGGCTGGGAGTTTTTAAAAGCCTCAGGAATCTTTTGCAGGTGTTTAGAGTTAATTAGTTGATTCAGATGATTAGGTTAATAGCTCGTTTAGAGAACATTTTCATGATATGATAATTTTTTGAGTTAGGAATTTAGGGTTTTCATGAGCTGTATGCCAAAATCATCAATATTAGAAACAATAAAAGGCTTGAACTACTTCAGTTGAGTGTAACGAATCTAATATATATGAAAGTCTAATGTTTATCAGTACATTACAGACAATAATGAACTTTATCACAATCGGCACATTTTTTGAGAATGACCTGTATGTGTAGATTTAGTGTTATGTTTTTGTTTCTGAACCAAACTAAACCAGTCTCAGTTATGTTTTTGTTCATTCACATAGAAAATGAGAACACATTCTGGTAAATTCCTCTTTTTGTGTCTGCAGAGTTCCTGCAGTCCCGTGTGGAAGTACCCATGTTTGGTATAGTGACTGGAGGAGCCATAGCCTTCATGGCCCTCCTCATCCTCAGCCTGATCGTTCTCTGCCTCGTGCACAAAAACAAGAGCAAGTCCTTTGGTGAGAAAGTGCTGAGCAGTAGAAAGCTTGTAGCATAAAACAGCTTTTAAAGCTCTGTTTGTGTTTCAGAGGAGCCAGTCGAGATCCTGATGACCAAGAAAAGGTAAATTTTTAAATAGGTGAATTGTGAGTAAGTAACTCACAGCAAAGAGATGTGTCAAAATCCTTTTATGAGGAAAATAATGTTAAGTCACTGTTGTGTTTCTTTTCACTTCCTGGCATTTCCTTTCACTCTCACTGACACCTCACCAACAGAGTAGTTTGGCACACCTGTTGCTGCCAGGTTATTCCTTCATCCATTAGCAGAATGGAAGGGAACACCATTGCAAGCCAGGCCCCCGTAATTCTGGGGGTTATGTGAAGCCAACAATCAAGTGGCAAAAATTACAGTTCCACCCTCATCCAATAGGTATAAGAAACTCTTTAATAGTCCATTGGCTGAGAGTCTTGACCATGATCTTGCAAATCTTGGAATCTGAACTGGGAATGTTTGAAATATGAGGCCAAGGGGCCATATGTTGCATTTTGTTTGAATGTCCTTAAGCAAAACAACGTCACCTTCTTTCAAGTCAGGCATGTTATTGGCCTACTTGCGCTGCGGCTGAAGGATTGCTAGATATTTCACTGTCCATCGTTTCCAGAAAGAATCTGCCACTGATTTTTACACAGGAGATCCAGCTCGAAGTCTCCTGGTGGTGCACCTGCCTTCTGTGTTAGGAGAGTGGCAGGGGTGAGAATGTCAGGCATCTCTGTACCATAGGAGATAGGGACCAATGATCTAGAGATCATTATTGCCATGACCTCAGCCATTAGGGTAGTCAACATTTAATGTGTTAGTCTGATAGCTCCATCCTTAATCAGCAGCAGCAAGGCTGCAGCAAGCCACTCCTATCAACCTCTCCCAAGCTCCACCCATGTGAGAGGAATGAGGTACATTGAAGGTCCATATGCAGTCTTGCACTTGTGGGTATGTATTGATTCCCATATCATCTGTGTTGATTTGAAGCTTTTTGCAGGTACCTATGATGTTTGTGCCTCTGTCTGACCTGAGATGTTCAATGGGCCCCTGGACAGACAAGAAACGGCGTGAGGCGTTTATAAAGCTTGAAGTCGACATACTCAATGACCTCCAGAGGGACAGCCCTGGTGCTCAGACATGCGAACACAACCACTCATCTCTTGCTGTCTGCAGCCCCGCCCCTTATCCTTCAGGTGGCAACACTTCATGGGCTGAAGACTTCAAGTCCGACATGAGTGAATGGTGGATCTATAGCTAGTCTGTACGAGGAAAAATCATACATCTTATGCACTTCAAACTTACCTTACAACTTCCACCAGATGGCACACCTGTATATGACACTGCAAATCATCTTCTTGCCTCCTACTATCCACACCGGCAGTGTGCTGAACACCTTCAGTAAGGTGGCGACCCTGATGATCAACCTTGTCATGATAGTATCGGACTAGCAGTGTTGTTATATGATGACCTGCTGTTAGGATCAGTGGGTGTTTCTGTTGGTCATCTATTAGTACCTTATTTATCCGGCCTCCCATCCTAATCAATCCACTCTTATCAATGAAATGATGTAACCTTGCAAGGGGACTTCGGCAGGTGACCTCGATGGCCTGTGTAAGGCCTTTGAGTTCTTTGTATATGCTTCAATGAGCAGTTGCTTGCATTAATGCCCTCATATACACACATCGTTGTTGAGCTTAGTTAAGAATTATCTTGACACATGAATAAGAGCTGTCATGCTTTGTATTAAACTCTTCCAAGTAGAGAACCGCTCAAATGTTCTTGACCCAAGGGACTCTGCTGTGACCGTTGTTGCCAAAGAAGTGACTTGGGGTTGATTTACCTACATCTGATGTACAAGTTCAAAGGATTCTTCTTCGTGATCCTGAATCTGTTTTGGTTCTCTGAGAAAAAAGTGTCTCTGCAAACAACTGTACAAGGCTTGGGAAACTGTTGGCATTGGTCTTGTCCTCTGGTGAGCCGGGTTCTCTCCAGATGAGACATACAGCCACTGTTTTGGTTCAGTCGAGGTTTGGATATGAGCCAGTGAGTCTATTTCTCATATCCCACTCAAATTGTTTACTGGAGAGGTTTCTAACAAATGCCTTGCCCTGTAAGGTAATGGGTCAAGCAAATCAAAGGAGATCATACAGACTGTTTATGGTAAACAGCATGCCCCTTTGTGTGGCTGGTTCCATGTCCTTTGACAATCTAAATTTGACAATTCGTCACATACCTTTTCTGTGGCGATGTCAGTGTCGCTGTCCGTGTTGCTGTCATCATCCCCAGGTGAAGCTGGCTTGAATGAGTTCTTCCCGCTGCCGTCTCCAGCGCCAAACCATGGATTCATTCATGCCAAGCTTACGTGCAGCAGCACTGTTTCCCTCCTTTACTGCCAGATCGATGGCCTTCAACTTAAATGTGGCATCATATGAACTCATACATGTAGTTACCATGATGAGGGGGTATGGATTTGAAAAAAAATCTTCATCGTGTCGGCTGCTTGAATGTGCTAAATTTAAATGAGCACTTTCTTCGATTTCCACTTTTGACTTCCACCTGTTTCACTTTCTGCTAAAGTGCCCCCTGGCAGGTGAAGGAAAATCTTCAGTAAAGCCGCATGGTTCAAAGCGTGGGAAAAAAGTAGCGGCTTATAGTCTGGAAAATACGGTAGTCAAGTTAGACTGTCAGCATCATCTTGGCTATTTTCAACAAGTCAATGGCACAAACCTCTTTGGGCACTTAGGCAAGCATGTCATCGACGTAAAAATTTCTGACAACGAAATGTTAGTCCGTGCCATGTTCTGCTTCTCCATATTCCACAGCTCTCAACCCATATGTTGCCACAGCTGGCGATGGACTGTTAACGAACACGTGCAGTCATCAAGTTATCAATTTTCTCTTTCACTGGGTCATTATCTTTGTACCACGGAAATCTCAGAAAATCCTGGTTCTTTTTATCAGTAAGTAAAATGAGCATGACTACAGCCTTGCACGGAAGCCAGTCGGCCATGTGCGTGGGCTACCCTGGTCCTCTGAGCCCCTTCTTAGCTTCTTGGATTAGCTAAGTAAACTAGTAGCTACATTGGTTCATTTGTTCCAACCGTAGTAGCTCCACTTCTTTTCCCATGGGAACCTCCAATTTGTAAGCAAAAACTCGAGCCTATGGACCTAAATTGTCCAGTGTGTATGTTGACGTTGAAAGCTCAATAACACCTCTGATTCAAGTTTGGTATTATCCACACAGCGAATCAGCAAACCTGAAGACAGACCAAGCAGAGAAGATCCACATCCCCAGAGAGAACATGTCTCTGCCCTCCAACATGCAGCTCAATGACCTCAGCACTCTGAGGAAAGGTAAGACTTCCATCCAGTTTAACAAAATTGAAGAAAAGGTTACCATATTAACCTGTAATTCATGTCTAAAACTGAGTGTAGAGCAGTGGCTGCTCATCCATAGGGGGCGCTAGGGCGCTGTCCCATCAGTCTCACAAGAAGAAGATAATCACAAAATATAAAAAACAACAACAACATGAATATTGAACTAAACGATCTCTACATTTTACAAACTGTAAGTGCTGTGTATACTCTGCATTTAAGTGTAGTTTTAAGATGTTATTTACACTTTACCCTGAGTCTAAATGCTGACAGTGTTTGTCCTGAGGACGTTTATATTTCAGATCACCATTGCATTTTCTTTAACTTGTCAGTTTCTGCGTCCCCACCTCCTTCTCGCCGTATGGTTAGTTCTCGTTTTCTTAATGAGAGCACAGCTAGCAATTTTTCTGCTGCTTTTGATCCACCCTGTTCTTCTGATAACGACCCAGATTCCTTAACTTCTCAGTTTAACGAGCACTGCCTCTCCATTCTGGAAAACATCTGTCCTGTCAGAACCAGATCAGTTCCTGCAGTGAACCCTACTCCCTGGTTTAATGACAGCCTTGGCAGCCTAAAGCGCCAATTCAGAAGAGTGGAGCGCTTGTGAAAGAAAACCCATCTCCACGTCCATCTGCTGCACCTAAAGGATCTTCTGACATCCTTTAACTCTGCAGTCAGAGACACGAGGGTTTCCTATTTCTCCAAACTGGTGTCCCAGAGCAAAGGGAACCCCAAGGAGCTGTTTAACACCATCAGCAGCATCGCCTCTCCTGCCTCTCCTACAGCCTCCATCCACTCTGTTGCAGACTGTGAGATCTTTCTGTCTTTCTTTGTGGACAAAGTCAATAAGGTTAGATCTAGCATCTCTCCCTCAGCCTTATCGCTGCCTCTCCTGACTCCAACCAGGCCCAAAATCCTAGATAGCTTTGCTCCTGTTTCTTTGCCTGAGTTATCCAAACTAGTTAACTCTATGAAGACCTCTGCATGCCCCTCCACATCTTACCCTCATCTTTGTTTAAAAGTGCTTTTCAGTCCATCGGTCCCAGCGTGCTCTCCATTATTAATGCTTCTCTGGTCTCTGGTCAGGTCCCTGCTTACTTTAAGAACACTGTAATCCACCCGCTTCTTAAAAAACCGAGTCTTAACCCCTCTCTCCATAGCAGCTTCAGACCCATCTCTAAAATTATGTTCATCTCCAAGATCTTGGAAAAGGTTGTGGCTAAACAACTCACAGCTGCTCTTGATGAACATAACATCTATGATAGCTTCCAGTCAGGTTTTCGTAGAGCTCATTCTACTGAAACAGCTCTTCTTAGGGTCTCTAATGACCTTCTGACTCACAGTGATGCAGGGGAATGTTCTGTTCTGGTCCTGCTGGACCTGACTGCAGCCTTTGACACTGTTGACCATCACCTGCTACTGGAGAGGCTGAGAGACTGGGTAGGCCTATCAGGATCTGCCCTGGAGTGGTTCTCCTCTTATCTTTCTGAGCGCTCCTTTTCTGTGGCTATCTCCAAGTTTAGGTCCTCCACCACCTCCCTTACAAGGTTCTGTGCTGGAGCCTCTGCTCTTCCTCTTCTATCTGCTTCCTCTTCAGCACATCCTGAGCTCCTTCAAAGGAATCTCCTACCATCTTTATGCAGATGACATCCAACTGTACATCTCCTTTAAGATGTCTAAGCTGCAGCTGTTACACACCTGCTTAGACTCTATCAAAACCTGGATGGCTGGGAGCTTTCTATGGCTGAATGAAGATAAGACTGAGATCCTCATCTGTGCCCCAGACAAGCTGGTTTCCAAAGTCATATACTCTCAGCTTGCTTCTCACAACAAACTCTCTGTCAGGAACCTTGGCGTGACCTTTGACCCAGCTCTCACCTGACCCAGCTCTTAAAACTTTATTGTTATTGTTTTTTGAATGCTTTGTAATTCCGACCAGACATGGAGACAGAGGTGAAAGAGAAAGGAAGAGACAAAAGGGGAGCTGCCCCAGAGCACAGGGACCCTAGGGTGACTGCAACCAGAAAAGCCCCTGCCCCTCTCGAGAGGTGAAGAGGATTCCCCGGGGGGGCCACAACCAGCAGCCGGTAGAGTCCCGGGAGACATCAGCGGCAAGCCCACAGGCCCGCCCGCAGCCTCCCACCCCCTAGCCAGCCGAGTCCGGAACCCAGAGACCCGGGACCCAGGGGTGACCATCCCCGCCGGGGACCCAGCAGAGCCAAGGGACCCAGATCCCACCAGGCAGCCACCGGGATTAATCTGGCAGACGCCAAAAATCTTAAACCCCCTGACCCGGAAGCCGCAAACACTCAGGCAGACCAAGGCACCACACTCCACACCAAGGCACCACACTCCACACCAAGTGTGGCAGGGGGAGGGAAGGCGAAGATGTATAGCAGCAAAAGAAGTCCTAGGAGAGGGGAGGAGTGAACGGCCCCACCTGACATATACAGTCATACACAAACACAGTCACACACTCCCTCCCTCATGCTCACACATACACATACAACCTAAGACTTACAAGAATGCATGCTGGTGTCGGTACAGTATCTGCTCGGGTGCAAGATCGGCTCGGGGTCCTTCGACTGCCGATGACGTCAAAGTACGGCAAACCCACTCGGACAAAATACACTACACATCTATACTGTTGGAAAGAATTTAGCAGTTTTGTTATTAAAATAATGTTTCTTAAGACGTAAGTTTGTGTTTATAATAGTATTTGTAAAATAAAACACTATATTTGATTCATGTTGAACTCCTCTTTGAGCACATCCCTTGAAGGATCATAGGTATTAGCAACACCTGTGAAATTGTATTTGCAGGAAAGAAGTGTGTCCCGTTTACTGAAGTATTTGTGTTGAGTTTTTGACGTCTTGTCCATGCGTAGTTCAGTTACGATCATAGCTGCTAGCCAAAGCTCTGGAGTTAAAAGTTTTCTGGCTTTACTAAAATACCTGTCTGTACTTATTTGATTGATGGTAGTTTTACTTTCTATTAGACTCCAAATGTAATCATTTGGCACGTTTCTAATTCATAATTTGTAATAATGTAATCGGCGATATTAGCATTAGCATTCCTATGGGTTTTTCCATGTATATTAGCATTGCGCTAACCACTCGCTGCCAAATTGCAGCCTTTGCCATTAGAAAATCTCCTTTTGTCACATCGCAATTTAATTGCACATGCAGTTAATCGTTCAGCCCTAATATACTTGCAGCTCTATGCTAAAAGTGTATTTTCAAAGAGGTAATGATGGATTTCTTTGTAAAAGTTGTCCATCTTTCCAATAGAAAAAATTTGCCTGGACCAACGTCACGTGATAACAACGTTACGTGATTACGTAATTCCGTAAGGTTCATGTTCAGCCAATCAACTACTTAGACGTCATCGGCAGTCGACGGACCCGAGCCGATCTTGCACCCGTGCAGATCTTGTACCGACACCGGACACCCACTCACACTCCGCATACACACCCTATTCACTCTGGTCCCGGTACTTCTGCACAAGGGGTACAACATTCACTGGTTCCAGAGTTAGTCCCTTTCTGCAGGGGTGCTGATGAGCAGGCTCCCCCATCCAACGCTGAGAAAAGAAACCCACCACCCCAGACCCCAACCAGATGGCCAGATCTCCCTCCTAGCCTCCAGCCCTGGGAAGCCAAGTGGCAACAGAAGCTGGCTAAGACCCCTAGTCTCCCCCCGCCTGCTCCAATACAGTGTTGATAAGGTGTATTCCATGGCTGGGGTGAGTGGGCATTGCATGCATTATCTGGCCTATTGCCAGCTGATGCCACCACACCACCCCACTTGCACCCACAACCCTCTGTTTCTAACTGCAGTTTAAAATTGGAAGTGGGCATCGGCACTTGGGTTGAGTCTGAAAAATCCTCCTGCCAAATGCCGTTGAATGTGCTCACTCCCAAGGCCCTAAGTGTGTGTTTGCGTGAAATGTCGGTGGTGGAAGTGTTTAATGTGCAAATAAAATTGGGGGGCAGGTTGCCACAGGAATGCGGAAATGGGATCCATTCCCACACCCCCTGGATTGCCCACCCCCAAGGTCCTTTGTGCATGTTTGTGTGATGATGTGAGGGAGTAGGAGAAGAAAAATGTATGGGGATGGGGAGGAATGGCTGGTTGGCCTAAGCCCTCCAGGGAGCCAGCTCCCCCACTGGCCCCAATAGGCACCTCTGTTCCCAAAATGCTACCCAGGGCATGGAGACCCCAGCCCATCTCACCAGGGCCCAAAGCAACAGTATCCAGAGCCCCACGGAGTCCGAGGGCACCAACACAGCCCCACCCCAGCAGAATATCTACTCCAATCCCTGCATTTGCACAACTTCCAAAATATGTAAGACATCTAGGTAAGGTTGGGTCCTCCCCCTCCTGGACATCCCCCTCTCCCATGATGGGACAGAATTGTTATTATTTGAGAGAAGCCAAGGTCCACCTGAGGCCCCTGAGCCTGGGCTTGGCACGGCTAAGTGTTACCGCCTTCTTCCTGGCAGCATGCATGTCAGGACCCAAATGGACCCGAACCCACAGCCCCGCCCAGATCCCCACACAGGGCCGGCCGCCCCCACACCCCGAGCCCCCAGACCCCCACCCAGACCCACTCAGGGGTGATGTAGCCGCCAGACAGCAACCCATGGCCAACGTCAAGACCCCAAGGGGCCCCACTCACAACCACCAGTAGTCCACCCCCCCAGGCAACCCAACCACCTCCTGAGCGGGGCAGCAGCCCCCCAGCCCCAGACACCCCCAGTGAACCGATTTCCAGGAAATGTCTGGATACTCCAAACTGAGACCCTCCAGCCCATCACCCACACCATCCCGCAGGACAATATCGATGATCCCCCATCATCGCTATGTGATGGAACCGATCAAAGGAGCCCAGAGAGATTGATTTGAAGTGGAAGCAGAGGCTGTATCAAGTGTTTTGCTTGTTTATCCTCTTTTTTTTCTTTGTAATGTTGCAGGTTGGAAATAAAGTTTGGGGAAAAAGTTGTACTATGTCCCATCCTGAAGTCAGATTGAAACAGGTGAAGAATGTTATTATTTTCAAGTAGCCATTTGAACTGGAATCCTTTTATTATGATGTTGAATAAATCAGGGGCTGCATGGTGGTGCACTAAAAGCATCTGCTGACAAAATCACCATCAGTCACAGAAGGCTTTACATTTTATCATAACTGAAATATAAGTGGACTGTCTAGCCGAGCACATGTCTGCATCTTTTTTAAATCTTTCATTATTGATGAGAGGTTATCTGGTTGGTTGGGTTAGCCCACGGCCAATTAGCTTTAGCTTTTCTTCATGGAACAATACTTCCTTTAAGACAGTATTTCTCAATTAGTGGGGCGCGCCCCCCTGGAGGGTGGGGGTGGGGGTGCAGGTAGTTATCTGGGAGGGGGGGGGGGGGGGGGGAGATGCAGGAGAATTCATTATTTTTTAGCATAATCTGTTCAGAATGCTAAACCACCCCCAGTCACTAGGTGGCAGCAGCTAACTAATCAATAAGCTGCCCTTTTAACCCAGCATAAGAAGACCGACCACAAACACACACACACACAAACGGGTGCCCCAGTGTGCAGAGTGAGCGTGCTGATGGATGTGCACAGATGTAGATGTTTATGACGGTGAAAAGAAAATCAGTGGAGATGCAAGAGGCCGGCAAAAGAAGACCAGAAAATATGACAAAGCCGACGTAGCGCTTGGATTTACCATGAACACGGTCGGAAATGAAGAAAGACCCATTTGTGTTTTCTGCCTAAAAACTTTGGCAGCCGACAGTATGGAATCCAAAGAGTTAAAGCGGCACCTGGAGACCTTACACCCCAGTTATGTTAACAAGCCCCTGGACTTTTCCACCAGCTAAACTAAATGTTTTCATACAAAACAGAAAAACATGCAATTAACTATGTTTTTGCAGGATAAGTGTTTTATGTGGTCAAACTGATGTAACTGACAGAAAAGTTTCAGAGTTCAAGGCTTTTCGAACTCAAAATCTTAAGAAAAAGTCCTTGTGAGTGTCATACACTTTTCAGCTCTAGTTATAAGTTAAAATATCATTACAATTGTTTAATGTTGGCAGAGAAAATGTAAAATGTAAAACAATTATATGAGGTTTTGAAAAAGAATTAGAGGTTTTAGTGGTTTAATTTTTACAAGGTTTTGAATGACTAATGTTTATGTTTATTTATTTGGCAGACGCTTTTATCCCAAGCGACTTACAATTTATAACCAATAGGGCATGTTGTGATCTGTGGGGGAAACCGGAGTACCCGGAGGAAACCCACGCATGCATGGGGAGAACACGCAACTCCACGCAGAGAGGCCGCAGCTGAGTTTCGAACCTGCAACCTTCGTGCTGCGAGGCAACAGTGCTAACAACTGCGCCCCCATGCAGCAGACTTAATAAATTGAACTCTGAAATAGCTTGAAGTTGTAGCTCATTTCTCAATTTGATTAATTTTTTTCAATTTTTTTCTTTCCATAAACGGGGGGCACAACAGAAAATAATTGAGAACCACTGCTTTAAGGTAATGTGTCCCTGTCCAACTGTTTCCTGTCTCAAAGCTCGAGATGCTGCCAGACAGAACAGAGTGGCAGAGCCAAAGAAAGAAGAGAAGGAAGATCTGTCTTTAGTCTACGCAGCAAGAGGTCAGAAGAGAACTCAAACCTTAAGCATTTAACGTGATAAAGGAAGTTTCGGGGACATAGAGAGGATTCATATGTTGTTTTGTTGCTGATGCTTCCAGGTTTTGCCAGATATCCGATGGTGGGCTACATCTATAAAGTGAACAGCACAAGCAGCGAAGAAATCTGGCTCTGACCAGCGAAGCATGTCTGCTGTGTGTGCATGCACGACTAACGATGCAGTAGGAAGCCCAAAACTAAATAAGTCACCTGGAACCAGAACCAGGCTCCCGGAGCAAATTATTACAGATGTGCATCAGTTTGCTTTGGAATCACAGTTCAACAGAAAAATAAAAACACAAAGCATCAAGTTCTCCTGCAACCAGCGAACAACCTTCAGAGCAAATCAGCTGATTCTGTTTGTGATGAGACGTGCCACCTGTCCACAGGTAGTCTGGTCCATTCCAGTGAGACTAGTCTTCTGGCCTGTGCTCTAACCCGCTCTCTCTAACTTCCTGGGACAACTGCGTCCTCCGCTCTCGATGACGTTCGTGTCCAGTGATAACCATTTAAACAGGTAGACTAAAGACGTGTTTTCAGCTTAATCGTCTGTTGTTTATTTTGTGGGAACACACTTCAGGATCAGAGCGGATCTTCTGTTGGGTTTAATAATCATGATTCCTGCCCAGTCATTTCAGTTTCTCTCAACACAAACGTGTCCGCGTGTCACAAAGTCAAGCAGGTGCTCGTGTGTTTTCTCTGCCCCAATGTTGTCATACGTATTATTTCCTGTAACCACATGATAATGATGTCATAATGAAGGAATGCATTTACTTACTCCACAATGTTACATTTGAGAAGTAATATTAGAAATAAAGTGGTCCACTACTTTGTGTATGTGTGTACTAATAAAGTACAAGGAAATGTGATTATGCTGTTGTACCTGAGAATCAGCAGGGGTCGCTGTGTGTGTGTGTGTGTGTGTGTGTGTGTGTGTGTGTGTGTGTGTGTGTGTGTGTGTGTGTGTGTGTGTGTGTGTGTGTGTGTGTGTGTGTGTGTGCGTGCATGTAGGTGTGTGTGTGTGTGTGTACGTGTGTGTAGGTGTGTGTGTGTGTGTGTGTGTGTACGTGTGTGTAGGTGTGTGTAGGTGCATTTGTGTGTGTGTGTGTACGTGTGCGTAGGTGTGTGTAGGTGCATTTGTGTGTGTGTGTGTACGTGTGTGTAGGTGCATGTGTGTATGTGTGAAGGTGTGTGTATGTGTACGTGTGTGTGTCTGTGTTTGTGTGTGTGCGTACGTGTGTTTGTATACGTGTATGTAGGTGTGTGTGTGTATACGTGTGTTTGTGTGTATTTGTGTGTGTGTGTATATGTGTGTGTGTGTGTGTTAGCATTGGGTCACAGGTGGCGTTGTGGCTTCTCTTCTAACAGGAAGTAGACTTGTGTATCTGCTACAGGGAACACACACACACACACACCAAATATCAGCGTGCATGTAACTGGACCAAAGTCATTTTTATTTTCTGATTATTGTTCAGAATTTGATGAAAAAATAAAAATCCACCACGAAGAAGGAGAACCTGTTGCTGCATGCTTTCTAATCTGAGCGTAAGTCTGAACGGTGCATCAACCACTCATCAGGGAGTTATTGTTCCAGCAGTTTTCATGAAACCCTTAAAAGGCTGTTCCCAGTGCTGAAGGAGGAAGGACTTTAAACGTGTGGAGTGGAAGGCAGCTCTGTTCTGAAGCTGTTGAAGCTCTTCAAGCCTCTGATGCCATCAAACCAATCACATGAACTTCCTCCTCGCTCCATGTCACACAGACGGAGACACTTCCACAGCAGACAGCTGCGACACTTTGGCTTCAGGTGGGTACTTTTACCTATCCTAGATGTACCGGGCTAGGGTGTGTCATGTCTAACATCTACAGCAGGTTGGGTGATCGGGAGCATTTCTATACTCAAAGCAGTTGAGATGTGTATTCTATGGTTGGTGGAGTAAAATGGTCGGTGAGAAGCAGAAAATGGCCTCCTTCCTGTCTGCTCGTCACTCACAGTTTCTCTGTCTGTTGTCAGAAAGCGTCCGTGATGGAACACCAGCTGCTGATTCTGCTGACTCTGGCAGGTAAGAGCTAACGACAGTTTAGATTTTTATTACCTTTGCTGATCCATCAGCCTGTGACACTTTGGTTTATTAACCTTTGATCAGAAGAAATATAAACAGACTCATCATCAACTGTAATCGGATTACTGTCCCTGTGATCAGAATCACTGATGTCAGGCTGAACAGAACCTGTGTTGTGTAGATGGATTTATCATCATTGTGTGTGTCCAGCCCCAGTGGGCCTATAAGACACCACTTATTTAAATTCAAATTCAAATATACTTTATTAATCCCAGAGGGAAATTAGAGTTTCAGTACACACAATTCAGAGATCAGACATACATGGGCAAGACACATGACCACAGTCATTCGCAACCCTGAGTCGCGCTACCTTAATATAGATAAGAGGGTTACATGAGGATTGGTTCAGGTGGAGGGATAAAAAGGCACTTCAGAGTTACCCTCCATAGGGAGGGCAGCTTTGCTATGCAAAAAACACCTCAGACAGAAATGTAACAGAGTTCAGACAACACAACATAACCACTAGGTGGGGTGGTAGGGTAGAGGACTCTCCAAACATCAGTGCATGCAGCCGCGATAAGCAGCGCTCGTCACCTCCGTTTGGACAGGGGAGGGAGGTCGTTGGGTTTAGAAAGCACAGTGACTCCTGGAAAGATTCAACTGCCTGCACCGGTCGCAGTCCCGCCCAGCCTGGGATAGGGAGACAGAGTTACCATGGCGACAGCAGCATTCCACATTTCTTCTGGGGGGGGAGTTATCGCTTCAGCCTCACAGGCTCAAGGGCACCAGATTCAGATAAGAACTTGTTTTGGGGCCCGACAAAGATAATTTCCTCTCTGTCTTAAAGTTCTGTTGATCCTCAACCCCTCTCAATCCAATAATGGCGTAATTAATCTATCCCAACTGTGCTGTCCCGTCAACTCTTTCCTTGATCGAATCCACCTTCTGTGCCAGAGCCTGAATCTCAGCCAAAGTTCCAAGCTTACGACTCATCTTGACAATTATCTGAGTCTGTGCGTTCACAGCATGGTGTAATCCATCCCTGAGCTCCGGGATTGAGCCAATATTCCTCGACAGCTCATTAATTTTCCGGTAAGCCAGGTAACCGCTCAGGCCAAAAAGCAGGAAACCTGACACCAACACCACGAATATCCAGACGTCTTCAGAATCCTCTACAGACAGTTGAGAGAGGCAGATCAGGTTCCACTGTTTCCAGAAGTCCATGATATGCCCAGCTGGCTCTGCCCCAGAGGGGCACCTGGGAGCCCCTTCTCCCATTCTCATCGTTGAAAAAATCTTGTCAATCGCGTTGAGAGACCAACTGATCAGATCCATTTTAATAATTTCCACTTTACAGAAAAAATGCAGAAGCGCCGTACACCCAAAGACAGACAAAGAGCCTTGGGATAAGATAGGGAGGAGAGGAGGAAAAAAGCGTCTGTACTCTCCAAGAGCCGGAAGAAGATTGGCTGACTCTGAGTCTGACGGCTCAACCAAGCAAAAGTAGCCACCTTCTACACATTAAAATTAAATAACTGTTTCATCTTGTTGTTGTCATTCAACCAAAACGTTTCAGGCTGTCGGATCACCAATATTTCTAGAATAATCATATCTTGGACAATATCACACTAAATGTTTCTTAGCTCTCACTCACACCCCCACAGCTGAGCTCGGCGTTCATTTGTCCTTCAACCTCACGTTTGGTCTTGTCTGACCTACAAAGTGACATTTTGGAAGCAACCAGAGCACAGTTCTGTAGAGTTGGTGTTAAAGCGTGCCATTAATGCTAATTATCGTCTTCCTAATCAATGATTGTGATCCGTCTGGAGTTTGGTTAATAAAATACACTCACTTCCTTTCTGAACTTAACCCCACCAGACCCCCCACAGGTGTGGCTGCTGCAGGTAGGCACCAGCTCCACCTCTTTCATGGGGGAATTCATTTCCCTGGTATTCCTCATGCCTTCAGCCCCTTGAGGTCTTCCACCCTTGCTGCATTAGAACACAACCACCGTCATTAAACTCTGTGTTTGCTCTCACCCCCTGCAGCTTTGTGCAGCTGTCAATCAGGTAAGATCCTCCTGGCTTTAACTGGGTTTCTCAGCCCTAATGACTTTTGCAGTTTTACAGATGTGTGATTTTTACACCAAAGAAGCTTTTTGGTTCCTTTGCAGAAGAAAAGAGTAAAAGAATAGCAGTGGAGGAGTTAGCAGATGGGATCAAGCTGAAATGTGTTGAAGGCTCAGTTACAGGAAATGATCTGACGGGAGAGCCTGACCTAACATTAAAGTACGACGATAAAAACACAGGAGAATACACATGCTCAGACAAGGAGTCCAGAATCTACGTGAAATTCCGAAGTAAGTTCTGAAGAGTTTCTGTGCTGATGGGCAGTTGCGCCAACCTGAGATGATCCGTGCTGTTTGTGTTTGGGTGCAGCGTGTGATAACTGCGTGGAGTTGGACACAGCCTCCGTAGCCGGCATGGTGGTTGGAAACCTGGTGGCTACGATCATCGTAGGGGTGGCCGTCTACCTGATCGCCACTCAGAGTCAGACCCATCCAGTTCCCTCTACCAAGAAAAGTAAAACCCGTCTGTCTGGATCTCACGTGGGACCGCTTACATATGTTTTACTGGGTTCTGGTGGTCATTTAGAGCTAAAGCTTCTCTAAAAGCTAACTAAACCAGGGTAACTGTCATCTACTGCTCTGATAATGAGGGACATTCAGTTTTACCGATGATAAATGCAGCTGATGCCGGACTCTGGCCTTCACAGTTCACTCCATGGTATTAAAATATAACCTCTACTGTTTTGTGGACTTGCCTTTAGTTAGCCACAGCAGCTCAATCTTGTTAGGACATTTTTAAAACTTGGAGCTTTTATTCTGAAGTGAAAAAGACTCTAGGACAAAACACAAGATAACAAACAAACAAACATACAAACAGGTCTAGCAACACCTGGCATGACTACATGACCAAGTTATTTCAGCTGCCTCTACTGAACCTCGTTGTAAAAGTAGTAGAACAATAGCTGCAGACAGAACAGCGCAGAGCATTTATTCCAGTGATGTCACCTGGCTGCTACACAGCTGCTTTACTGGACCTGGTTCTGATTGGTGCTGCTGACGGCCCAGAGCGACTGAGAACCTAGACCTGCTGAGAACACAAACCTTCATCAGATGTTTGAGGAAAACAACAAACTCTTTCTGAAGAACACACACTAAAATCATAGATCAGCCGTGCTGTCTATTACAAGGATGTATGATCTTTACTTGGTGGTCCAGCTGACCAATCAGATATGGCATTTATTACCTAGAAAACTTAAAAGGAGAAAGAAAGGAAATAAATAAACATAAACGCATAAACATAAAACTAACCTCATGCTAGAGTGATGAACGAGCTGATGATCTTTTCTCCTCAGGGTCCGACAAACAGAGTCTGATTCCTCCGGAGGCCAGCGGCAGCGCAGACCATTACCAGGTAAGATGAACTACAATGACATCATATAAAACAAAACCCTCTTTTTACTTGATCTCTTCTTTTCCTAACCCAGAAACTGAAACCCAAACATGCTCAGAGGAGTGAGGAATACGACGTCCTCAGGAAGTAGATGAGCGGCTGATCCCACCTACCTCCTTCCAGGGGGAGTCCGCCAGGACTCAGAGCTGATTTAGTCTTTAATATGTGCTTTAGCTCAGCCTTTGTCATGCTGTACGTTCTACTGCTGGAACAACCAACTATGGGTTGTTGTTCTTCGTGTGTTTTGTAAAACAAAACCTTTCTTGACATTTTTGTTTCACAATTAAAAACTTATTAAATACTTCTCGTCTTTTCTGCCGCTTTATTTAAAGGAGAAAACGCTTATCCACTTAAGATGATCTGAATTTTATAACTTTAATTTTAAACTGTTCAGACCAGATAGACTTTTAGCTGCTGGTTAGCTACAGGTTAGCTACTGATTAACTACAGTTTAGCTACTGATTAACTACTGGTTAGCTGCTGGTTAGCTACTGGTTAGCTACAGATCAGCTACTGATTAACTACTGGTTAGCTACTGATTAACTACTGGTTACCTACTGATTAACTACTGGTTAGCTACTGATTAACTTCTGGTTAGCTAAAGGTTAGCTACTGATTAACTACAAGTTAGCTGCTGATCAGCTACTGATTAACTACTGGTTAGCTAAAGGTTAGCTACTGATTAACTACTGGTTATCTGCTGGTTAGCTACAGATCAGCTACTGATTAACTACTGGTTAGCTACTGGTTAGCTACTGGTTAGCTACAGATCAGCTACTGATTAACTACTGGTTAGCTACAGATCAGCTACTGATTAACGTCGAGCTAACTACTGGTTAATTACTGGTTAGCTGCTGATGAGTGATTAGTTACCTAGTGGTTAACTGCTGGTTAGCTACTGGTTAGGTCCTGGTTAGCAGAGGTGGAAAGTAACGAATTACAGTTACTCATGTTACTGTAACTGAGTAGCTTTTATGTGTATTTATACTTTTAAGTCATTTTTCAAATCTGTACTTTTATTTTTACTTGAGTACGTTTTTTAAAAAGAATTGTAATTTGCTACATTTTAAATCTTTTCCATTACTGAGTAAAAGTACATTGTAGGCTTAATAAATTAAAAATATTACGTGTAGCAGCGTCGGAACAGAAAGAGACACCTGCATGAGTGCCACGTCTAAACCGTGGGGGATGTGGGTGTACATTTTAGATAATGAGGACAAACAGCCATTTTTACTGCAGTTTTGCTCAAAAACATCAGTTCAGTCCCTGTGATCCACTCGCTGTTTACCTCCTCTCTCCCTCCTCTCCTGTGGGTTGGAGCCCGCACCTTCGCGCACAGGTGTGACGTCATCAGAATTCTTGACATGTTTCCCTACTGCTCCGCATGGAAGCGGCAAAATAACGTTTAGCGCTCATGACAAGCAGATTCTCAGCGATGTGCTCATAAAACAGAAGACCTGCAGGCCTCTGTGAGTTAAAACATCCTGATACTGTTCAGGTGTAAACGTTGTGCTCCATCCCTGTGTTTGAACTCAGAAGTTGCTCCTTGATGCCACAGATGAGATGATTTAGCTTGTTTCTTTGTTTTACTCCAGAATAAGAGATTAAAGTATTACAAAAGCAGTTCAATGTAGTTAAATTAGTCATTCAGATTATTCTAACATGCTGTAGTGTGTGTGTGAGTGAATTGTGAACTGGCGTTGTAATTTTGCACTACTTAGATGTAGCCATCCTTGCACTGACAAAAATGTAACTAAGTAACTTTTACTTTGAGTACATTTCATGTACAATACTTTTTACTTTTACTCGAGTAAAAATTTAGGCAAGTACTTTTACTTGTACTTGAGTAAAAAATTATCATAGCATTGGTACTCGTAATTAGGTAGGAAATTTTAATACTCTTTCCACCTCTGCTGGTTAGCTACTAATTAACTTCTAGCTAACTACTTGCTAGCTGCTGATTAGTGATTAGTAACCTAGTGGTTAGCTGCTGGTTAGGTCCTGGTTAGCTACTAATTAACTACTAGCTAATTACTGGTTAATTACTGGTAAGCTGCTGGTTAGCTACAGTTTAGCTACTGATTAACTGCTAGCTAACTACTGGTTAGCTAGTGGTTAGTCACAGATGAACTTCTAGCTAACTACTGGTTAATTACTGGTAATCTGCTGGTTAGCTCTCCCACCAACCTAGGCAAAAATCTTCTCAAGTTTGGGTTTCAGTAGAAAAGTGATGAACATGGGTCACTGCCTGGCGGCTGCAATTTCCCTGGGCGGGTCTGGGTGGGGGCCTGGGGGCTCGGGGTTTGGGGGTGGCCGGCCCCATGTGGGGATCTGGGCAGGGCCTTGGGGGTCGGGTCCTGACATGTATGCTGCCGGGAAGAAGGCAGGGACACCCAGCAGTGCCTGGCCCGGGTTCGGGGGCCTCAGATAGACCTTGGCTCCTCTGCCGTTCCATCACAGGGGAGGGGGAGGTCCAGGAGGGGGAGGACCCAACCTTACCTGGATGTCCCATGTCTGGAAGTTGTGCAAATGCAGGGGTGGGCATAGATACTGGGTTGGTGGGGCTGGGTTGGTGCCCTCGGACTCCGTGAGGTTCTGTAATGCTGCTGCTTTGGGCCCTGGCAGGATGGGCTGGGGTCTCCATGCCCTGAGTGGCAGTTTGACAACAGAGGTGCCTATTGGGGCCAGTAGGGGAGCTGGCTCCCTGGAGGGCTAAGCCCAATCAGCCATTCCTCCCCATCCCCGCATATGTTTCTCTCCTCCTGCTCCCTCACATCATCACACAAACATACACATAGGACCTTGGGGGGTGGGCAAGTCAGGGAGTGCGGGTATGGATCCCATTTCCGTATTCCTGTGAAAACCTGCCCCCCAATTTTATTTGCACCTTATACACTTCCACTGACGACATTCCACACAAACACACACTTAGGGCCTTGGGAGTGAGCACATTCAACGGCATTTGGCAGGGGGATATTTCAGCCTCCTCCCGAGTGCCGGTGCCCACTTCCAATTTTAAACCGCACTTAGACACTGATGGCTGAGGGTGTGAGTGGGGTGGTGCAGTGGCATCAGCTGGCATATGCTGGATGATGCCTGCACTGCCCACTCACCACAGCCATGGAATACACCTTATGATCACACAACACTATATTGGAGCAGGCGGAGGGAGACTAGGGGTCTTAGCCACCTCTGTTGTTGCTAGGCTTCCTGGGGCTGGAGGCTAGGAGGGAGATCTGGCCGTCTGGTTTGGGTCTGGGGTGGTGGGTTGCTGTGCTCAGCGTTGGGCGGGGGAGCCTGCTCATCAGCACCCCAGCAGAAAGGGTCAAACTCTGGTTACCGGTGATGGTTGTACCCAATGTGCAGCAGTACCGGGACCAGAGTGAATAGGGTGTGTATGGGGAGCATGAGTGGGTGTCCGGCGTGCATTTTTCTAAGTCTTGGGTTGTATGTGCATGTGTGAGCATGAGGGAGGGAGCGGGTGACTGTGTTTGTGTATGACTGTATATGTCAGGTGGGGCCTTTGGGTCCTCCCCTCTCCTGGAACTTCTCTTGATGATATAGATCTCTGTCCCCCCTCCCCCTGCCACACCTGGTGTGGGGGCTTGTGCCTTGGTCTGCCTGAGTGTTCATGGCAACTGGGTCTGGGGGTTTAAGATTTTGGCATCTGCCTGTTAGATCCCGGTGGCTGCCTGGTGGGGTCTGGGTCCCTGGGCTCTGCTGGGTCCCTGGCAGGGGTGGTCGCCCCTGGGTCCCGGGTCGCTGGGTCCCGGGCTCGGCCGGCTAGGGGGTGGGAGGCTGCGGGCGGGCCTGTGGGCTTGCCGCTGATATCTCCAGGGACTCTGCCGGCTGCTGGTTGTGGCCCCCCGGGGCGATCCTCTGTGCCTCTCGAGGGGGGCGGGGGCCTTCCTGGTTGCAGTCTCCTTGGGGTTCCTGCGTTCTGGGGCAGCGCCTGGATCTCTGGGACTTGGAGCTCCCCCCGTCTCCTGCGCATCTTTGGGGGGCGGATCTGTGGTCCCTCACACTCTCTGTTGGGCGCTCCTATAGAAAAACCTTAAATAAACAAGCGCGTGTACACACACAGGTGCTCACATGGTGCTCTCAAAGTATGGGCTTGGGCACGTCAAACACAGGTCTTAAGACTATGGTGGGCACTTAATGCATTGTGATTTATTATCGTGATTCTTCAGTTAAGCAATGTTGATTATATATATATTTTTTCTTTTCATCAAGTTGACGCAGTGATAGGTTGATCTTGTTGTATTGTTGTTGTGTCCCTTTTTTTGTGTCCCTTTGGTTTTTTTTTTTTGTCTTTTTTTCTGCAGGTCTAGAAGCAGACTCTTGTTCATTATTGTTTATTTTTGTGGAACCCCCCCCCCCCTTTTTCTTTTCCTTTCTCTTTCACCTCTGTCTCCGTGTCTGGTCGGAATTACAAAGCATTCAACAACAATAACAATAAAGTTTTAAGTATCAGGCATGACATTAAAGCAAACGCTTTGATGCTCCACCTGAGAATAAATCTGTAAGGCTTGTCACCAGCATTCAGACATCAATTCTGCTTGCTTCACAGCCAGACAGGGCACGGTAAAAAAAAAAAAAAAAAAAAAAAGAAAAGTGATGAACAACAGCATCTGACCTCGGCTCTTAGAAGAACCTCAGTGTAGAGAAACAGCGACTAGCTGTGACCGTACAGACAGACTAGTAGGGGAATTCACTGGTCGCACTCATCAGCAGTGGAAATAGACCAACATGCACTGCAGACTGAGCTAACGAACAAAGCTGATCTGCAGACAGGTTGGAAATAACGTTGTAGACATCTCACGTCTGAGGTGCAGGATGACAAAATATTAGTGAAATGTGTCGAGCAGTGACCTGAGAACAGCCACCACTGAGCTGACGACAGCATCAGCACCGCTGGACCACACACACCCGGCCTCTCCAGAGGGTTTTACTGCAGGACAAGCTGACTCCACCTGCCACAAATGTCTTCCCTTTGGGGATGGAGGTGGTTTACTCCTGTCCTTTTCTAATTTCCCAGTGTTGCACATTTCAGTGGGATCAGCAAACATAACCTAAACAGTAACGGTGAATGAGGTTCTGCTGAACTCCGCTTGCTGCATCAAGTAAGTCAAAGCAGGGAAACATCTGAAACATGCAGCATGGAGGCTCTGAAGCACAGGAAGGAGTAGGAGCAGAAGAAACATCCACCTCTAAACCCTTATATGTGTGGGTTTATATTTCCAACAGCTCAACACAGATGTGGAGTTACACAACAAGAAAGAAGAGGAGAGGAGAGGAGAGGTAACGAAAGATGAAGGGCAGGAAACGGAGAAGAGGACAGAAACGAGCTGATCTCATGCTCCCCTGTTCCAGAGCACACACGTGATCACAAAGATGTCTGCATCAGCAAAGGCATCAGAGCAGATGTGGGTGTGGTTTCACATCACTCTAACAGCTGATGAGAATGCAGATAAGAGCGTGGGAGTCTTCCTCTACACCACTAGCTGCTTCAACGTAAATCCAGCACCCGTTAATAATCTGTTGCATCAGGTTTCATCAGGGCACGAATCACACAGAGGCTTCAGAGGGGTGAATAGTTTCCAATATATAAATCTTATGCTAATAAATGATGGCTTTATGAAATGAGTGGGGATAAAGCTACCTACATTTTCATTTTCAAGCCCGTTGTTTGATATTATGTGAGCATTTTCCTGTCTGTCTGTCTCTCATTTTCCTGCATCTCCTCTCAATCCTGCAGGAAAGCTGCTGCCTGGCTTCCTGTTTTCACCCATGAGTTACTTTTAAATTAGGCAGATCAAAGGGATATCTTTGCCGAGTGGTCCCGCCAGTGAGGTGGTGATGATGAGCCCCGCTCTGCTGCATCAGGCACGGATAAAAGACAGAAAGTTCCAGAGGGTATGAGCGGGCGTGGGGTGATTATGTGGTGCCACTTTAAGAATGTTACTGTGGTCATTTGCAGAACACGGCTCTGTGTCCTCTCCACCCAAGAGTTCGGTGTTTAAGCTGACGGCTCCCCTTTCAGGCTCCCCTTAGCTCCCCCGTGATTCCAAACCTGGGTTTCATGTTTTTTGTTTCCACAGCAGCTCGTTGTCACTGCTGGGAACGCAAACACAGTGTTTCCATCGTGTATCTGATGCAGAGCCAACCCAACAGGCCGAGACCTGAAGTGGAGTTGTATGAGATGTTTCCTGTAAGCGATGAGAGACGAGGAAGACCTTCTGGTGATGACACTGAGCTGCGGTCTGAGGCCAGAAGAGTGTGTGTGTGTGTGTGTGTGTGTTTAGCTGCATGAGAGACAACAGAGGAGCACAGTGGCTTATGCTTTAGTTTATTGGTGATGTGTTACAGACACAAGACACTTCTAGATGAACAACAAACAGAACAGCTTTAATAGAAAACTAAACCAAAACATTTTTAAGCAGGAAAAAAGCATCATGTAGAGAAAACAGCCAGAGAAGCTGCTAAACTCATCGTTCCTGTTGTAATAGTCTGGTTTTATGGCCACAAAAGATAGAATGAAAATAACAAATCATGCTGGACGTCCTCCTTCTACGACTTCCTGCTGCTAACAGTTTGGTTTCCCACATTAAGAGTTGATCGGCCTTCACCGTTTGTGATGCTCTAACCAAACCCAATCAGTCTATAAAACACCATGACCCGTAACACTATAATTATTGTACTTCCTCACGTCACATATCATGCTCCATATGAATGATTAAAAATCAGAGTTAATGGTCTGTTTCAGTAAATACACCCGTCCCACTGATGCTGTAGCTACCAACTCTAATGATATTCATCAGCTGGAATTATAATTCTGCCTAAAATAGCATAAACCTATAACAGATTTAAATCATCCTTCTAAAGCTGTAAATAAACAGAGCAGGAGGAATGCTAATAAACAAAGAGCCATGCTTCCAGATTCTACAACCGTTCCATTTCCACAGGAAGTAGATGAGATGCCAACAAGCTCCTGCAATAAAACACAAGGGGACTGAGACTATGCTGGTGACATTAGGTCTGAAACAAACTGGTTACAGGTGGTTGGTGGTACCGGGACTCTAGAATGTTCCTCAGGTGTCTCGTCTCTATCCCATCTTGGTCACCACGGTGGAGTAAGTGCCCATCGATCGAGTGTTTGGGTTCAGTGGCTGTCAAAACACAACCCAAACATTAGTCTGGTCACCAAAAGCACAGAAACCACAATAATAATATGTAAAAAATAAACAAAACCAACAAAACCCTGAAAAACAACAAAGGAAGAGAAATATTTAGGTTAGAGTGTATAAAATGGTACAGGACACGTCTCATATTTGAGCTAAATAATTCAGATCAGATAAAACAAGGCTGCTACCACACCAAGGAACCAAAGTTAAGACAAAATGTACATTTTCTCTTATTAATACAACAGAGTTATAGAAACCCACGTAAGTCGTTCACAGACTTGTTCAATCATGAATGAACTGATTCCTCCCAGACCTGATCCTCACCAGACCGCTAGGATTCTACAAACCCTCCAAAGGACGGAGGCTAGAAGATCTCAAAAAGCAACACAACTTGTCTGCACTGAAGGACTTCTAAAGCCCTGCATGACTGGTGACTCGGGCCAAGGTCAGCTGTTATCACGAGAGACCTCACACCGCAGCAGTTAGGGTGGGTGACGGTCAGACACATCAGAACTGCACGAGTCGATGTTCCACACGAACACTCACCGGTCAGATGGGAAATCCTTCAAATTCCCTCAAGACCAAACACGACTTTGAACTAAACAGACATGACGGAGCGTCTAGACGTCACATTCAACATGGCAGCACATTTGGGTGCTCCACACAAGCTCAGACACTGGGACAAGACATGTTGAACATCCACCATCTGTGAACATTATTCAGAGCAGACCAGAGCACTCTGAACTCAGCAGGAGTGTGTGTGCTGTGTTCACAGGTGATCTTTGGACACATTTCAGGGTGGGTCGGGTCAGAACCATCCTAATCACCCCACTGTGTGTCTAACCATGGCATCATGGGCGACTTCAAAAGCTCCTGATGACCAAAAACATCACAAAGACCCATCTAACATCCTCCTCAAACATGGTGGTGGTAGTGTGATGGTCTGGGGCTGCTGGAACTGATGGAACCATGAACGTCCAACCTTTGACCTTAAGCAGGCCGTTCCTGCTGGAAACCCTTGAGCAGAGAAGGGCGCGATGCTGTCATGAACAGGTGTCAGCACCTCTGCTACCTTCTCACACAGGATCAGGTTAGTTTGTTGTTAAGGAGTCAAATGAAAACTTTACTGCTCTGAAACATTTAAACAACAGGCCCGGCCGCTCCGGTCATCACAAGATCGTCGGCTAGCAGTGCCTACACCACGCTCAGGACTATCCAGACTCTTCTCATGCATCGTTCCACAAATGTGGAATGACCTACCAAGCACTACCAGAACAGGTGCTTCCTTTTCCATTTTCAAGAAACTCCTGAAGACCCTGCTCTTCAGAGAGCATCTTCTAAACTAGCACCCTCCTGCACCCGTCCCCTCTCTCTACTGTCCACTCCTTGTTCCCTACTCTCCATGACTGATGTCAAGTTGTTGTTGTTATTGTTGCTGTTAGCCTCAAGGGCAACATGCCGATTATCACTTGTAAGTCGCTTTGGACAAAAGCGTCTGCTAAATACATAAAAATAAACAACAACAACAAAATGTTTCTGCTAATAATTTCAGGAAGAGAAAAGAATGAAACATGAAAGGAGTCTGGCTGCAAAAGTACTCACCGCGTAGTCAGGATGTGGAATAGGCGAGGCCCGTCCAGGTGCTTTAGCAGGTGCTGGGGGGGGGGGGGGGGGGGGGGGGGGGGGTAGTAGACCGTCACAGGTGTGTACGGGGGCTCAAATGGACACAAACACATATTAAACCTGTGCACGCTTACATTTAGCAGGATGAGGAGCAGCATCTGAGCTGGTCTTCCTGTTGCATCTGTAGATTATTATCATCAGGACTGTTGACACGATCACATCTGCAGTGACCATCCCGATGAAGAGAAACGCATCCAGTTCAAAGCAGTTGTCACACGCTGGAGGACACGGGTAACAGGTCGGACAGGTGAGTGTCTGCTCACTAGTACAGGAAGCACGGGAGGACTTTACTTACCTAATCCTCTCACATAGAACTGGTACAGCCTCCCTGTAGAGGTTTTACAGTCGTACTGGACTGGGACTTCATACTGAAAGGTGTAAGCATCTGTCTCGCTCAGCTTTGTGTCTTTGTCGTACCAAGCTCCATCGAAGGGACAGGTCAGTGTGACTTCACTTCCCCTGAAGCTAGCGCTGGCCTCTAACAGAGAAAAGTACACGTTATAAAGCAAAAGGTTTCCTGAGAGCAGAGCCGGTCGTTCTAATGATTTCCAAAGCAAACAGCCACACAATACATCTTTAGATTTGTCTCATGATGACTATTTAGGACAGTTCCTCATATGAAGCAGCCTGAGAACAGGAAGTAGAAGGTCTAGGTGTTACGATTAACCTGGAGGGTTTTTTTTTACGTTGAAGGAAATATCACATAAACTGTTTATTTACCCCCATCAGCGTTGACGGTGGCGGCGAACATGAGGAGGACGGCGAACGCAGCCTGAACATCCATGCTGATCCTTTTCTTCACTCCTTCCTGTTTGTGTTCAGACTTTTTATCTTATTTGCAACAAAGTTGGGAAGAAAAGTGTAATTATTTGAAAATGTCTGCTTATAAACAAACAAAAGTAAAAAGGAACCTGGTGGTGGTTCTCTCTGCGAGTCTTTTACCCTCTCTTTCACACACACACACACACACACACACACACACACACACACACACACACACACACACACACACACACACACACACACACACACACACAGACACCTAGCCCCACAGGAAGTGCTTCTTTTTCAAGATGAATTCACAGTTAAACCTCAAAATGAAGTCAAACTGCAGCATCGAGGGTGGAGAGACTCTCTCGTGGCTGTTTCCTCATCCAGTTCAGCCTCAAACCCCAGAAGCTGCAGCAGAAAAACTTGGTAAAAACTAACAACACAGGAGCAATTTGTGTCTATTTCTCTGGTTTTCTTCTCAGTTTAATCTCGGGGAACTAAAGTTACATTTAAAGTACTAACAGCTCTATGTTTGAGTGATTTTCAAGGAGCACAGTGGCTCTACAGCAACATAAACAAGCCAAGAAGAAACTGAGAGAAGCAGCAAAACCCTCCCGTGCTGTTAACGGGTCAGATGGCCCCAGGTGCTTTTATCTTTTTAGCAGTACACCACTTCACCCTTGCCAAGGGATTAACCATCAACCATGTTTACCCACCCACTATCCCGGAGGGGTCCTCTGATGGTGCCTAACCCTAACCCACACAGACCAGACCTGAACGGGTAACTGTGTTCAAATCTCCGTCAAATATGCATTTTCCTGTCCGGCCCGAGTCTTTTCTCAGACCTCCTCCCAGCGGTCAGACTGGGACCGAGGTGACACTATGGACTGGTTGGCTGGCTGAAATTACGCCTCCCGCCACCGTTCTGTGAGAAGAATGAGCACCGCCACAAGAAACCTCCACTCTATCAGCTCTTCACACCGCCTGCACCAAACACAGACTGAACTCTCCACTATGGCTATCTGTGGAGGTTTTCAAAAATCGACTCAAGACCTTTCTGTGTAATCAGGCTCTCTACAGCCACTTTTGATGTGTGTTTTACTGTATTGTGTTGTTTTTACTTATAGTTTGTATTTAATGTAACACCTTCTTAGATTGGCCTTTTCTATTCATGGGGACTGTTGTTATTCCATACTTGGCAACATGTTGAGATAGCATTGTGTTGTTTTTACCTATAATTGCTTATTCACTGTAATGGGTTTTATTATTTTGAGTTGTGTGTGTATGGGGGGGGGGGGGGGGGGGGGCACACATGATTATGAGGACACACACAGCAAATTAATAAAATAATGTGGTTCAGAATCTCCAAAAGCAGCACAGCTCATTTCCACCTTTGTTTACCTTAAAATGGAGGACACCGCTTCATTTCCCCGCGCGTCTTAAACTCCGCCCACAGGCTTGGGGACTTCCACAGTCCTGAAAAGTCCCTCAGATTTATATGTGAACACTACACTGCCCGTTCGAGACCAAACTCATGCCATCCAGCCCCACCAAACCCCGACCGTGCCGACTCTAGTGTGTAAGCGCCATTAGTGCAGTGTAAAGTACAAAAGCAGTAGGCGAGTGGGTTCGGGTGGTAATCCCAATAAAACCATCCAAGAACAGCTAAACTAAATCTGTAGAAGTTCTGAGTAATAAGGGAGGGTGGATGTTTGAATGCTGCATGTGAGGATCTTCTCACATTTGAGCTCGTGGTCAGCATTAGCCAGCTAAAAGTTTTAGCCAGAAAATCTGAGGCACTGCACAAAGCATTGTAGGGGTTAGCATGTAGATTAATTAAGATTGGGCCCATTAAAAGAGATGTTTTAGTTACTGATGTTTTAGGACAACTCGTTTACTGCTCTGAGAAGCGGGCTCCACCCCCCAAAGAGCCTTTAACCACAACTGTTGGGCAGTCGGCCATATTTGTTCAGGGCACCAAATTGTGGGCATCTGACCACAGAGTTAGAACATCTAGCCACTTTTAACATTAGATTACTAGGCCTTTGCTAACTGCTTTTGTTGTGTTAACATGCTACTTACCAGGGAACTCCGCCACGTTTGTGTTTATTTGGTCAGACTGCTAGCTCAGAGTGTGTGACAGCCAAGGAAACCTTTACAAGTCTAAAACATCCCAAACACTGGCTGGCCAGCAAAAATGTTAAATTAAGTCAAAACACTCAGGTTCACATAAAGGCAACAAAGTGAAAAAACAGAAAAGAAAATGAAGAAAATGTTCAGTAAGGACACATTTAGCACATAAAAACTACAGAAATGTGCAGCTGTGTAGGATTGTTGTTACTGCTGTGCAGTGGCGGGCGGTGCGTTCCACCCCTGGGCCTTCAGTGATTTCCTATTCAGTCCAATCTAATTTAATACACCTTAACCCTTTGATGCATAATGGTCACTACAGTGGACAGATACTTAAAATTGTTATTTATTTATTTTTACTATTAAGCACAGCTGTTGAAGACTTTATTGCAATTGAACCCCTCCATTTGTACTTCAGTAAGTCAAGCCACCATATTTCATGTTCAGATTGCACACTGTCCACTGAGGTGGACGTGTAATAAATTATTTGTAAATTACATTTTACAAAATATATGTAAATATGAAATTTGTTTCATTCACACCTAAAGATGAATGAAAAAAATTGTTAAAAAAATCATGGTTGAAGATTTCATAATTCATGCATCAAAGGGTTAAAATACCATCAATAGGACATCACAGCTGGAGAAACCTCACACACACACACACACACACACACACACACACACACACACACACACACACACACACACCAGTGGCTGGTCAAGACACATAATTTCCAGAGTCTTTAAAATCAAACTCGCATTCCCAGTTGAGAGTAGGAAGCTGACCACGGATACCGTCAAATCTCAGAAATGAAAGACGGGTTTAAGAGATGAGACAATAAAATAAATAAGTAAAGCAAACACATTATTTGCATTTGTTTTGGAGAAAATTGTACCGCGAAACAATTGAACATGTTGGCGCAGCTGCACACACCACGTCATTCACAATATAAATTGCATAGAAACAGAACACAGAATAATTTCATTTTGCTATTTTATTTTGTTACCATTTATTGATTATTAACAAAATAAAATGACAAAACATTAAAAAAAATACTAATAAAATGTTTCTACTCACCAACATAAATGTCCAGCATGGATCTCCTCCTCTCCTGCTCATTTGAAAATAAAATCCATCCTTCTTTCTTTCCTCAGGAAAACCTCAGTGGCTCTGTACAGTTTACCTGTGTGCTTCAGGTCCATGAGTGGATCCTTTTCTATGGACATGGAGGCTAATGCTGAAAGACGTGTCTGTCCGGTCGTGTTTCTGGCGTACGTTTTAACGCGCTTTAATGCTACCAAATCCATCTGATGCGAGCAACAGGCATTCCCAGCAGAATAACCTGCAGCGGTTCTCTGAAGCTGTTAGCCATGGGTACCGTTCATAGTTGCTTGCCTGAAAATGACGAACAAATCCTTTCTCCTGCTGGGACAAGCCAGCTAGCGTTGGAGTCGGACGACCTGTTCTCACAAGATCCACTTTTTCTTGAAAGGTCCGTCTGGAAAATGGTGTGGCAAGTAAATCTGCCACCAAGTCTGTCCCTTCTCCTCTTTCAGCCATCACGTGTTCACAAATACACCGATAGCTGCCTATAGATACAAATCTCCGTGTTTAGTTTTGATATTTTGCTTCATGCCGCTAGAAAAGTTCTAACTACTGCTTATCCAATCACAGGATGCGTTCATGTCAACTTTTGCGTGAGGCCAGCTAGCTGGCCCGGGCCAAGCTGACTCGTGAGCTGATTGGCTATCACAACTGGCTCGTCTCTGTTCACTTACAGCGGAGAGTGGGCTTCTCGGTTGATTCTGAAGGCCTAGAGCAGACTTAATCTGCCTGAAAACACAAGCTAGCTTAAATCTGATTGGATAACACCCAGCCTTGGTATTTTAACACTGGAAGCAGCACAGCCAAGTGGGTATAATAGGATATAAAGAAAATAGACCAGTAAGCATTTTTTTTATTTAAAAATAATTACCAAAGGAAAAAAAATACATTTACGCTTTTGAGTACGTTTAGGCCAGCAGAGAAGGCTTTGCTGGCCCTGACTGCCCACCACTGCTGCTGTGATGGAAATGAGAACAGATGCACCACATGCACAAGTGTTCTTGTAAAAAACACCATCAGGGAAGTAAACAGTCTAAGTGCTGCTGCTCTTCTGAATAAGCTCTCCAGCTCTGCAGCAACACCACGGGTAGAAGTTCTGCACATTCTAGGACAAGCTGGTATTGTTGATCATCTAACAGCTGCAGAGAAGCTGCTGCTTCAACAAACTACACCATAGAATAGCAGTCTGCTACTGCCAGCCCGTGGGCCGAATCCGGCCCACCAGACATTTCTGCCCAGCCCCCCAAGTCTTTGGGCCTGAGAGCCTCCAAATATCAATACAAGGTCAGAACTTTGGCTACAAGACCAGGTAAACCTTTTTATGTTATTCAAACACAACTAAGTCTACAATCAAAGGAGTGGCCACAAGTGCCTGCTGTGTGAGTGTTTTTGCCTTTTTTTCTGTCTTGCTGCTAGAAATCAGATTGTGCACACATGCTCTCAGACCTGTAGATGTTTGGTGTTTGTGGCTTGCTAAAACAGATTTAATTTCTCTGTACTAGGATATCTCTGAGTTATTGTAGCACATAAGCACGCTAAAACACACATTTTCTGTTGTTCCACCTAGCTTTTAGGGAACCATTTGAGTTCGCATGCAGTTTATTTGGTGTTGAACAGTTTGCTCGTCCAGTTAGCTTAGCCTCAGCATGGCAATGGCTACTTCTGTCTCTGCTTCTCCATCTCCTATCTCTTGCTCTCTGTGTTTAGTTACTCCTCTGCCTCCTTTAGTGATAATGGTATGTGTCTTAAATGTAGCATTTTTGTAGCTTTGGAGGCCAGGGTGTCAGAATTGGAGTCCCGGCTCCTTGCTGTTGAAAAGCCCGTAAACAGCCGTAGCTACTTAGCTAGAGCGGGGCAAACTAGCCTAGAACCACCCCATAGCGACCCTCCAGCAGAACCTGAGCAGCTGGGACCTCAGGCCAGCTGGGTGACGGTACGCAGGAAGCATAGAACCCAGCCCGTG